GGGACACGAACCGCGGTCGACTACGTGGGAGTCCAGCGACATAGCCATTACGCTAACTGCTGGTCCCGCTAACATATATATTAGTATAGCTGATTCTTGTATATTGATCCTATGTCCTCCACCTTGGTGAATGCATTCATCTGTGCTAATAGTTTTTTTTTGGTGGGTTTTTTAGAATTTCCTATGTACAAGATTATGTCACCTGCAAGTAAAGATAATGTCACACTTTTGTCTCTGCAATCCTTCAACCCTAGAGCCTTTAATGTAATTGATATTTGCTATTTACCCTGGTTAGAATGTCTAGCACAGTGCTAAATAAAAGTGGTGAGAGTAGACATCCTTGTTTTGTTCCTTAAGGGAAAGTATTCAGTCTCATCATTATATATGGTATCAGCTGTGGGTTTTTCTTACACTTTACCATCAAGAATTCAACAAGAATGTTCCTTCCTATTCTTTAAGTTTTTTTTGTTTTGTTTTTGTTTTTGTTTTTCCATAGAGTGTATGTGCTCACCAGAGAGAGAACAGAGAGAAAGAGAGAGAGGCAGAGTGAGAACCAGATCCAAGGATGGGTGGCCACGCGGCAGTCCTTTTCTTCTTCCATCCCCTAGGTATTTGGGCCGTGCATGCGCACATGCTCAGCATGACTTTTCAAGCCGCCAGGGCCAGGACCAGAACTGTGTGGTGGGATCCAATGCCTTAACCTCCACACTACTTGCCAGCTTCCTTTCTATTCTTAACTTGTTGATTATTTTTATTATGAATGGGTGTGGCATTTTATTAGACACTTTTTGTGTATCCATTGAAATGATCCGGTAGCTTTTTGGCCTTTATTCTACCAACATTACATTAACTGAATTTTATCAATAGATATTAAGCCAACCTACCTGGCTATGGTATGCACATTTTCTATATTTTTCTTGATTTCATTTCTTAGCATTTTGTTGAGGACTTTTGGGTCAAAATACAAAAGATACCATGTATAGTTTTCTTGTGACATATTAGTCTGCTTTTGGTATAAGGGTATAGACCTGAAAAGAGGAGCTGGGAGTGTTTCTCCTTCTCTTCTGTTTCTTTTTTCTTTTAATTAGTTTTTACCAGTTCGGCTTGTTGCACTGGGCAGCTTGCCTACTGAGCTTAAATTGGAGTCCTGGGACTGAAACTCCACTTTACTGGTTGTTAATTTTGGAGTCTGTAATAATTTTAAATTATTTTTATTTTTTAATTTTTAATTCTTTTAAGCTTTTTACCATAGGGCATATACACTTCCTGGGGAAGAGACAGAGAGACAATGAGAGGAAAGTGAGGAATCCCTTCCCACGCTCCCACCGGGTAGATGGCCACACCGGAATCCCTTCTCCTCCATTCTCTCCTGGGAGTTTGGGCTCACATGAATACATACCTGGTATGATTTTCAAGCTAACAGGTCTGGGACTGGAACCAGTCAGCTATATGGAAGTCCAGTACCTTAACCACCATGCTACCTGTTGGCCCCTTAAACTATTTTTTTAGTCTTTCTTAATCATTGTTTTTATGATCTCTGAAGATAAAAAAACAAACAAACAAAAAAAAAAAAACCAACCAAAGTTTTACCCTTGGAGTGCACCATTGTTTTTTTATCATTTCCTACAACCTACTAGAAAAAGAATCTAAATTTGAGTGTCCTGGATAATAGTAATCACATTCTAAAATGAGTTTGTTATCTGCAATCTTGTAGTTTATATTTCTCTTAAAATCAAAAAAGAAGAAAAAATGATAGATGGCTTGAGAGTACTGGGTAGCTAAGGCTACCCCCGCAGTAGCATTGCTATATGATTTGCAAAGAGTGCTGCGGACCTGGCCCAGAGCCCCTGCTGACCAAGTCACCCACACCCTACCATAGCAGGACGTCCTGACTCTCATACAACTTCATGGGTTCTGACATGTTAGCTCACAGTTTATTTTTTAGGTCTCTGTGGTCTTTGGTCCTGCTAGTGGTATTGTCCTGTCCTTTCCTGGATAGCTGCGGTTGAGTTTTTAATGACGCTCAACTCCTCTCTTTTAGAGTGGTGGTCTGTAATCTGTACCCCTTTGTGAAGACAGTGGCTTCTCCAGATGTAACTGTGGAGGAGGCTGTTGAGCAGATTGACATTGGTAAGTAAGAAAAACCATTTCAGAAGACTGACAGAGGTGGGGATTAATTAGGTTTTAATGAGATTTCTTTATTGAGGAAATAGTTACTTCTCCCATATTGTGTTCTCAGGTGACTGACTATAGTTTACCTCTGTTTTCTCGTCTTTTTCATTTCAGTTTTATAATACCAGAGGTTACCTGTGCATGTACACACATGAGAGACAGAGAGAACCTCTCAGTGGGCCCTGGGCATGTTGCAATTGTTTTTCTTCCAATTCTCTGTCCTTTGTGATTCTAGGCACTTTCACATCACCGGGGACAGGGTTTGAACCCTGGTCAGTCATGTGGGATCAGGCTTCCTCTGTACACTTAACTGCTGCTTTATAAGGCTGAGCCTCTAAGCTGTTTTTGTGTGGAGCTGCTTCTGATTTATTTTTTTCTTATTTTTTAAGTCAGGGATTAAAATGAAATATGCTCACAGTGACTTTATTTCAAAGACATTCATAAACTGATATGAAAATACACACACAAAAATATATATCTTTTTTTCAAAGGTGGAGTAACTTTGCTGAGAGCCGCAGCCAAAAACCATGCTCGAGTGACAGTAGTGTGTGAACCAGAGGACTATGTGGCAGTGTCTACAGAGATGCAGAGCTCTGATAACAAAGACACTTCCTTGGAGACTAGACGCCAGTTAGCCTTGAAGGTAGGGATGCACTTTTATATTATTGTAGCAGCCAGCTAATGCAGTGTTGCCATATCAGGCAGCCTCCAATTCTCCTTAAATTACTTACCAAGGTTTGTTTAGAGCTGCCATCCTTTTGTTAAAAATGAAGAGACCAAATACTAGATGTTTTGTTAAAAATATAAGAGAATTTTATAGGAATAATTTGTCGTCACTGAGTGTGTGTGTGTGTGTGTGTGTGTGTGTGTGTGTGTGTGTGACAGGGAGAGGAGAGCTAGGGCATGTGGTGTGCTGTGTCCATAAACCACCTTGTCTGCCCTTTGGGAAGTGCTGCCAATGTCTCATGAACTTGTACTTACAGGCATTCACACATACAGCGCAGTACGACGAAGCAATTTCAGACTACTTCAGGAAACAGTACAGTAAAGGGATTTCACAGATGCCCTTGAGGTATGGAATGAACCCTCATCAAACTCCTGCCCAGCTGTATACAGTCAGGCCCAAGCTTCCCATCACAGGTAAAGCCTGAGTGTTGGGTACATGGCAGTTTGGTGTGTTTTTCTCTGTACCTGACATGGTTCACATTTAGAAGATAAAGTCAGTTACTTAATACCTCTTCGGACCATGTGAAGTTTAAGGAGCTAGTTGGACTTATGAGTACTCATGTTGAGGCACATTGGAGATGACTGATGGGAATGTCTTGGCATGTAGATGTTTAGAAGACATAGAATAGGATCAGATGGCCTGGACTTCAGAGAATAGGGTCAGGAATGAGCATTAGGGTATTTTCCAGTTGCAGGTTGAACAGTGAAGGAACAAGCAAAGGAAAACCTTGAAAATTTCAACTAGTCAGAGTGCTGTGGGGAGCAGAAAAGTGCCTATTGGTTTTGGGAATGTTACAAGTAAGAGCTCCTTAAAATGATTTATGTGGGGGCTGGCAAGTAGCATGGTGGTTGAGGCACTGGACTCCCACATGGCCAACCAATAAATAAATAAATAAATAAATAAATAAATAAATAAATAAAAAACAGAAAAAGCAGCTGAAGTGGGCCAAAGCAGAAGCGTGAGGCTACAAGAAACAACAAAAAGATCCTTCTAGTCTGTTCTGGTATTAATTAAAAATACCTGAAACTGTGATTTATAACATTAGAAGTTTGTTCACCTCATGATTTGGAGGTCTGAGGTTCAGGGGTACATCCGGTGAGGGAGATCTTACTAATGGGACTCATGGCAAGACAGAGCAGAGCAGAAGGGCACATGTCTCTCCGTCCGTATAAACCCACGAAACTTTAATTATGAGGCCCTGCTCTGATAACCTTAATCCTAATTTCCTACCACATACCCTGTCTTTCGACACTACAGTTAGGTTAGGTTTTTACTCCCTTAGTCCTGTCACAACCAAATGTCAGTACATGAACTGGGGGTAGGGGCACACAATCCTTAGCAAAGGTAATTGTTCGAACTGAGAAATTAGGACTTCTTTGGGTTTATATTGGGTCGTTAGAAAAGTCATGACATGGGAACCAGCAGTTAGCATAATGGCTATGTCGCTGGACTCCCAGGTAGTCGACCACGGTTCGCGTCCCGAACCCAGTGACTTAAAACTCACGCCGGGTGCATGTGCGTGCATTCCCAGGACCCCGAGAGGAGAATGGAGGAGAAGGGATTGCGGTGTGGCCATACCCCCCTGGGGGGTGATTTCTCTCTTTCTTTCTCTCTGTTTCTCTCTGTCTGTCTGGGAGCCTACGTGCCCTATAGTAAAAACCTCTCAAAAAAAAAAAAAAAAGAAAAAGAAAAAAAAAATTCGTTGTTTGTGTTGTCTGTTCTGTGTGTTTGGAGGAATGCAGAGTGTCATTACAGTGTCGCTGCTCTAAAAATTTTCTGTACTGAACCTATTCATTCTTCCCTTTCCTTTCTCCCAGCATTTGCTGCCACTGACCTTTTTTCACTGACTACATAGTTTTGCCTTTCCAGAATGTCAGTCAGTCAGAATCACACAGTATGGCGTCTTTTCAGACACTTTATCTAGCAATATACACTCAAGGTCTTTTCATGGCTTGATAGCATATTTCTTCCTATTGCTAATATTTTGTGTATGGATCTACCACAGTTTTTTTATCCTTTAAGCTATTGAGGAACATCGAAACTTGAAAGTACAGTGTTTTCCTCCTTTTTTTTAAAGTTTCTATATATTTTCCATAAAGTAGAAAGAGAGTGCAAGCAAGTTTGAGAGCATATCTCCCAACAGAGTCCTGACCCCACAGTCCACCCTCAACTGTCAGTCTGCCTCAGATCATGGGCACACACTTGCCTAGCATACTCAGCAAGGACTCTGGACTTAACCAGACCTTCCCATGTGGGATGCCTTGCAGAGCTCTGTGTTGCACCACTGTGCCACTCTGGCCCCAGAGCACAACTTTTTTCATTTTTTGCCAGAAAGATAGAGAGAGACAGAGAGACAGAAAGTGAGAAATCACCCCCCGGGGGAATGACCATGCTGCAATTCCTTCTCCATTCTCCTCTCGGGACCTTGGGCACGCACACACACATGCCCAACATGAGTTTAAGCCACCGGGTCCGGGACTCAAACCGCGGTTGACTACATGGGAGTCCAGCGACATAGCCACTACACCATCTGCTGGTCTCAAAGCACAACTTTTGGCAGTTAAGAGCAAACCTGCTCTAACTATTCACATATACATTTTTATATGGACATAAGTTTACAACTCATTTGTAAAAATACCTAATTTTTAAAATTTTTTGCTATTTATTGCCTGTTGTGTTTCTTTTTTTCCTCCTGAAATATATTCCATGAGGACAGTGATTTTGGTGTGTATGGGCAAGACTGTTTTATTCCCCGATGTAGCCTAATAGTGCCTGATAATGGTAGACGCTTAGTAAATGTTTATCAAAGTTTTACTTTTAAAAGTATCTGCTATCTAATGTAACACATAAGGGAAATGAAATTAGAATTATTTTTGTTTTTAATTAGTGTTTGCCCATTATTTCTTTGGTGAGCTGAGCTTATTATGTTTATTCACAAGAGATACTTGCTCCTAAGAAATTCCACCAGTGTTCAGTAACTAGGTAATGAAAAGCTCTGAAGTTGGAGTCATCTTTTAATTGGATTTCAACTTTAGGCTGAGTTGAGGCTGCTGTAAAAGAATTAAAAAAAAAAAAACCATATTTTTTTCTTCTGCCCTCTCACCCACAGTTCTTGCTTTAGCTTGTAATTTTTTGGACAAGTTGCATAACTTTATGCTGTCTCTGTAATCGCTGTAATTGTTCAGTCATGGTTCTGTCTTTACGTGGATCCCGCACTGATCAATAGTCTTGGCATGCTTTCTCCCACTCCTCAACCTCTGTAACTGTTGTATTTCTAGATTGAATGGGTTTGATTCTCCAATAGTGTGTGCATGCTCGTGCATGCATGCGTGTTCATGGGGGTGTGTAGATTCTTTAAAGATGAGCTCTGGGCCAGCAGGTGGAGGTGAAGTAGTGGTAAAGATGCTGGACTCCTGTGTAGTCAACCATAGTTCAAATCCCAGACCTGGCGGCCTGAAACTTGTACTGGTCACATGCGTGCACGTCCAAGATCCTGAGAGGAGAATGGAGAAGGGATTATGGTGTGGTCATCCTTCCTGGGGAGTGATTTCTCACTTTCTACCTTATTCTCTCTGTCGCTCCAGCAAGCTCACACACCCTATAGCAAAAGTCTCTCTCTGAAAAAATAAAGATGAGATCAGGCTTGATTGCTTTATTTATTTATTGAGAGATTTTTACTGTTGGGCACATGCACTTGCCAGAGAGACAGAAAGTGCGAAATCACCCCCCGGGGGTGATGGCCACACCACAGTCCCTTATCCTCCATTCTCCTCCTGGGATTTTGGGCATGCACTCACATGTGCCTGGTAAGAGTTTCAAGCCACTGGGGCTGGGATTCAACCACGTGGGAGTCCAGGGATGTAACCATTATGCCATCTGCTGGTTCCATATTTTTTATACATGTATCTACATCTGACCTTATTCTGTGTAGTAACACGTATGTAGGGTGTGAAATCATAACCTACAATGTTTATATTCGCAACATATAGATTAGTTAAGTATATTATTTAGAATGTTCATATTTTATGTAGAGCCTGAATCTGTGAATGTGTGTGTGTGTGTGTAATAAATATATATATATATATTTTTTTAATGTAGTTCTAAATGGTTCCCCTGGATTTATAAACTTGTGTGATGCCCTAAATGCCTGGCAATTGGTGAAAGAACTCAAGGAAGCTTTAGACATTCCAGCCGCTGCCTCTTTTAAACATGTCAGCCCAGCAGGTAAAGCACTGTGCTCTGGAATGCCCTGGAGCTGTCCAAAATGCAGCTATTTAATTTTTTTTTTTTTTTTAACATTGGTAAGTTTTAATGTGAGTATAGACCTAACTGTGAAGTCTAAATCACTTTGGTCAAGTCTGTTGATAAAGTATCAGTACAGTAATATGATAAAGTCTGATAATGGAATGACGTAGACATGCACACTGGTATATATAGCACCATAGTGTTTTGGCCAACAGCAGACTACATGTATGATGGTGGTCCCATGAGATTATACCGTATGGCCTGCGTGTAGTAGGCCATGTGGTTCTAGGTTTGTATGTAAGCACTGTGATGTTCACACAATGACAAAGTCACTAAGGACACAGTTCTCAGAATGTCTCCCTGTCTTTCAACAACACGTGACTAATTGTGTACCATCATTGTGAGACAGGAAGTTCAGGCGATAGTTTTTCTTTTTCTTTTTTTTTTTTTTTTTTTTTGCAGTGGGAACATGAAGACTTAGAAAATAAAAATGAAATGACTTACTGTAATAGGCTGAAATATTTTTCCACATGTGTGAAAATGTAACTGAACAGACAGAAAGAAGTTGTTCTTATAATACGTTATCTGTACCTTTTACAGCCATCGTGTGAGAGAATTTTGTGCTTCTATGTTGAAGCCTTAATTCCATAGCTTAGTTATCTGTATCAGCAGATGAGCTGACAGTCCAACACCTAATTAGTTCTCACATGCTTACTGGATAGTAGAGCAGTGTGAGCGGTGAAGAGATAGACAGTGTGTGATACCAGTTGTCGGTGGTGAAGTCAGCCAGCCTCACGTGCAGGCCGGCAGCAGTCATGCTTCAGTGGTTCTATTCTCAGAGGCCAGAGAGGAGGTGCTTCCAGCCCCACCCCATAAGTATATTTTTGGTGTTGAATTACCTGGCTAAATACATTTTTGTTTAATTTGACACAGGCTCTAGAAAATAGGCTGCATTGATGTTAAGAAAGATGTCTTGGTGGTTGACATAAACAGTATCTTGAGAGTTAATTGTGTTTTTGTATACCAGGTGCTGCCGTTGGAATTCCACTTAGTGAAGATGAAGCCAAAGTCTGCATGGTCTATGACCTCTATCAAACTCTTACACCCATATCTACTGCGTATGCAAGAGCAAGAGGTCAGGTCGCTTGAGGGTGGTTTGATTTGGGGGGCCGCAATAATGTAGTAATACCCTTTGTAAGTTATTTTTAATCTGTTTTTTTAAATACTTGAGAAGATGAGTATCTCAAAATAATTTGTTCATAAAAGTATCTTTCAGTATTTTAAAGTATTATGGTTTTTATTATTATTTCTAATTTACATATAATAATTATACCTCTTTGTGGGGTACAGTGTGTATGTTAGTATTTTAATCTAATAAATTGAAATACCCTTGGAATTTGGTGGATGTAATTTTAGTTTAGGCTAGTGAATGCATTAATACCACTTGATATATGACTAAACTGTATGGTTACTTAACTGTACTAAATTTGTTAGAGTTATATTTTATATATTTCAGAACCTTTTAGATCTTGAGTTTAATACCTGTGAATATTATAATATCTATGAGAGATTATTGAGAAAGTTAATATTAAAGAGTTTGCCATAAATAGCAGGGGTCAACCAAGTATGACCTTGGACTGAATCCAGCCTGCACCCTATTTATGTAAATACTGTGTGATTTCATTGAAACTGGCTACGTATGATAATTTTTTGTCAGTGGCTTATTTTGAGCTACGACTGCAGAGTTGAGTAGTTGTGATACAAACTCTGAACCTACAAAGATGAAATATTTCTGACCTTTCAGAGAAGAGAGTTTGCTAAATGCCACTTTATAAGGTAAAATTAGGGGCCAGCAGGTTTCATAGTGGTAAGGGCACTGGACTCCTGCATGGCTAAGTACATTTCAAGTCCCAGACCCAGTGGTTTGAAAATCACACTGGGAGTGTGTGCGTACATTCCCAAAATCTCGAGAAGGGATCGCAACATGACCATCACCCATGGGGAGGTTGATTACTCACTTTCCCACTCTTGTTTCTCCAGCAAGCATACATTTCCTACGGCAATGACCTTTATAAAAGAAGGAGGTAAAATTATTGCTTTCTTCCTGATTATTTCAGTTGAAAGACTTACTGATCGGTTATTTAAATCTTATGTAAACAATAAAATTATTTTTTGATAAAGGATTTATAAGATCACATGGATTTTTGTTTTGTTTTGTTTTTTAATGTTTCTATCATACGGTGTATGCATTAGCCAAAGAGATAGTGAGAAATCACACCCACGGGGGGATGGCCACGCTGCAGTCTATTCTCCTGGGATTTTGGGGCACGTGTCCATGTGCACACACGTATTTGGTGTGATTTTTGAAGCTGCTGGGTCCAGGACACAAACCACAGTGGGTCTTGTGGAAGTCCAGGGCTATAACCACTACACCACCTGCGGTCCCTAGGCAGGTTTTTTTAAAACGTCTTATTCTACATAAGGACTATTTCTGATAAATACTTCATTTTAATTTTTATTTACAGGAGCTGATAGGATGTCTTCTTTTGGAGATTTTATCGCATTATCTGATGTTTGTGATGTCCCGACTGCAAAAATTATCTCCAGAGAAGTTAGTATATGTTCACGTAGCTTGATCTATACACAGAATAAAAAAGCTTTATTTGTTAACAGTGTTCACGGAAAGCTTATTAGCCTATAGTATTTATATTTATAATGAGTAAATTAGTTATGTTCATATTTTATGTAGGGCATGAATCTGAATTGTTAATTTTGAGATTTAGTGAATTAATACTTCAAGTCTTTATTTGGCTGTGACAGTACACTTTCTATTTATATATAGGTGATCCCTACTTACAGTGGTTTAACTTACTAGTTTTTTACCTTATAGTGGTACAAAAGCACTGTGCATTCATTAGAAACTGTGTCAAGTTCTAATAAAACCATCATGTTGTTTTGAGAGGTTTTTGCTATAGAGCATGTGCACTCACCAGAAAGACATAGACAGAAGCAAGAAATCACCCCCCAGGGGGATGACCACACAGCAATCCCTTCTCCTCTATTCTCCTCTCGGGATTTTGGACATGTACACACACGCATCCAGCGTGAGTTTAAGCCACCAGGTCCGGAACTTGAACTGTGGTCGACTACATGGGAGTCCAGCGACATAGCCATTATGCCAACTGCTGGTCCCAAACCATTGTTTCTTACTTACATTACAGTGTTCAGAAAATTACATGAGATATTAAACACTTCATTATAAAATAGGCTTTATATTAGATGGTTTGGCCCATCTGTTGGCTAATGTGTTTTGAGCACATTCAACCTAAGCTCAGCTCAGCTATCTTGTAGGTTAGGTATATTCAATGCATTTTGACTCAAAACATTTTCAATTTATAATGGGTTTATCAGAACTTAACTTCACAGTATGTAGAGGAATATCTAGTTAATTATTTTTAAATTTCTAGTAGTTATCTAAATGCCACAGTTATTTCTGAAGAGCAGAGGAGGCCGTTCTGGATGGTGATGTGACCATGAATCTTACTGTAAACTTCCTTAATCTGTAATGGAAGAGACTATGTCCTGGGGAAAATGTGAACTCCTCTGATAAACTACCCTCCATCATTTGAATACCAGACAAGCATTCCAGAAGACATGAGTGCTCTTGGTGGTGGGGAAACAGAAAGGTAAAGAAAGCAGAGATGGTAGTTCAGAGGGCGTGTAGGTGAGGCAGTAGGTAGAGAGGAAGCTGAAGGGGCATGTGACTTGACAGTTCTCAGTTGCTTTAGGGATTCCTTCTGAGACAATCACCTTCCCTGTTACAGGTTATAGCAAGGTGGGGACATTTTTATTTTAAATTATAAGATGTTGAATCTTGGACCTCTTTGCCTTGCTCTTCGGAAGTGTGTCTTGTGCAGGTCATTTAACCAAGTACTGGCAGAGCCATGACTGGAACATCATTCTTCCGGTGCAAAACACAAGTCTGAAGAGAATCATAAGAAATTGTATTTCTTCCTGAGGTACATGAATTAGAGCAAATTATTCATATATTTATGCTCAAGACTTAAATACACAAAAACACTGACAGAGGAAACCAGGGAGATAGGGCCTGCAGTAGGAGTCTGTCTCTAACATAGGATTGTCTTTTCCCCATACATTATTAGCATTACCTGATAGAGGTAGGAAAAAACAGAACACGCTGCTGCGTTATTTAAGGCAGAAAATTGCTTGAAGGTGTTCTCTGATTCTTTTAAATAGAAATTAACATTCAGTAATTACTGCAGGTATCCGATGGTATTGTTGCTCCAGGATATGAAGAAGAAGCCCTGAAAATACTTTCTAAAAAGAAAAATGGAAGCTACTGTGTTCTTCAGGTTAGCATAATGATATTTACAATGATAATTTGCTCTTTTATTTTGTGTCTCTTTTTTTCCATGTTTAATGCTTTCTTTTATTTTTCTATCCTTAATCCTACCTTTTTTTTTTGTCGTGTGTGTGTGTGTGTGTGTGTGTGTGTGTGTGTGTGTGTGTTTGTGTTTGCCAGAGAGAACAGATAGAGAGATTACAAAGATAGGGAAAGTGAGAAATCACCCCTGACCAAGGGGGCATGGCCTCACTGCAATCCCTTCTCCCTTACATAACCACCAGGCCATGGGCTGGCCCTAGCAGGGCTGCACGCTCTCACTGCAGATTCTAAAAGAAAATTCTTTCTTTGCCTTTCCTATCTCCTGGAGCTATATAGATTCCTTGGCTATGGATTTCTGCATTTCAAAGTCAGAAGCATAGGATCTTCTTTCATATGCCTCTGCTTTCATCAGCCCAGTGCTTTCTACATTTTGTGTGTACAGTCTGTCTCTCTCTCTGACTCTTACAAGGACCCTTAAGTTGGTATTTATAGGACCAGCAGTTGGCATAATGTCTGTCACTGGACTCCCATGTAGTCAACCACGGTTTGAGTCCCAGATCCGGTGCAAGTGCATGTGTGCCCAAGATCCAGAGAGAAGAATGGAGGAGAAAATATTGCAGCGTGGCCATTCCCCTGGGGGTGATTTCTCACTTTCTGTCTCTCTGTCTCTGTCTTTCGGGCCCTATAGCAAAAAAAACTCTCTAAAAATTAATTCTTTAAAAAAGAAATAGTTAATGTATTTATATAGTTTCCTATTCACATAAGCTACTCTCCAAATACTACTTGATGGCAAATCTAGCCATCCTTCTCTTTTGCTGCTCTGTTACCGTTCACTGAAATAACTAATATTTTAAATTTCTTACTTATCTTCTTTGAAATAGTCTATGCCTCTTCAGCAGATATTTACCCTTGCGTTTCTTCTTGTATTTTCTGACTGACATAAGCACACTCCGCTTTACCACCTTGGAAGGCTATACCCTGTCTGTGCATCTGACCTTCCCTAGCCAACCACCAGTCTAGCTCCTGCACGCAGCCCTGTAATGAAGGACCTAGGAAAGTCCTAGGAGTGAAATTGGGACTGGAACACAGGCTCTGCGTAGATACTGCCCCTCCGAGAGGTGGGACGGCATCTATTGGGGTGTCAAAGTCATGACACATGTTTGCATAGAAAGACAGAAAAATGCATCATGACTTTTCCAACAACCCAATACTGTCCTAATGCGGATGGGGAAGGGTGCCTGTTTCCCAGGGCCATGCCAGCATTTGTTCCTGTGCTTTTCATTCCTGCCACTTCATTAAAGGGCACCTCATCAGAGTTTTAACTTCTCATTATGTGTGGCGTGAGCATCCTTTCATATTTAACGGTATTTTTACTTTTTATGAACTCTCCATATTCTTGCCTACTCTTTTGTTGTTGAGATTTTCCTTACTAATCTTTATGAACTCTATGTTAGGCAAACTTGTCCATAGTCTACGGTTATACATGAGAGACTTACTTGAATTGAAAGTAAAAATTTATACTGCTATTTTTCACAATGCATTGATAACAAAAAATTGGTGGGACCCAATTTTATTTTTTTAAGAATTATTTTATCTGGGACCAGCAGATACTGTAATGACTATGTCGCTGGACTCCCATGTAGTTGACCACAGTTCAAGTCCCAGTTGTAGTGACTTAAACTCACACCGGGCATGTGTACATGCATGCTCAAGATCCTAAGAGTAGAATGGAGAAGAAGGGATTGTGGCATGGCCATCCCCCCTGGGGGGTGATTTCTCGCTTTCTGTCTCTCTGTCTCTCTCTGTCTTTCTGGCGAGCACATGCGCCGTATAGCAAAAACCTCTCCAAAAAAAAAAAGGAATTATTTTATTTTAAATTTATTTAATTATTTTAATTTTGCCAGAGAGGACAGAGTGAGGGAAGAAGTGAGAAAGTAAGCCACCGGTTCTGAGACTCAAACACTGTCAGCCGTGTGGGAGTCCAACGCCCTTAATCTCCATGCCACTTGCTGGCCTCTGGTGGGACCCAATTTTATATAATGAAAATGATTGAGTATTTTTCTTGGTTATAGGAATATAATTCTAGAACTGGCTCTGTGGCCTGGTGGTTAAGGTAACTGAATCCCATGTGGCCTGCTGCACAGTTGAGTCCTAATCCTGGCAGGTGACAAAACCTGCCAGGGGGGCTAGCAGGTGGCGTGGTGGTTAAAGGCACTAGACTCCCACAAGGTTGACCACGGTTTGAGTCCTAGACCTGGCCACTTGCTCTCTCACTTTCTTTTTCTCTCTGGTCAGATTTTAAAAAATAATAATGATAGATAAAATTAAATAGGGGCCAGCAGGCGGTGTGATGGTTAAGGCACCTAGGCTCCCACATGGCTGACTGTGGTGTGAGTCCTGGACTTGGCAACTTGATTTCTCGCTTTCCTTCTCTCTCTTTGTCTCTCTCTGGTCAACTTTAAAAAATAAAATAATGAGGGAACCAGCAGTTAGCGTAATGGCTATGTCGCTGGATTCCCACATAGTCGACTGCGGTTCGTGTCCCGGACCCGGTGGCTTAAAACTCACGCCGGGCGCGTGTGCGTGCGTGCCCAAGATCCCGAGAGGAGAATGGAGGAGA